CGGGCTGGGATTGTGAGGAACGGGCAGGGATCGGGGAGTGACTCCTGTCCGTGGATCTGACACTCCCTTATGGACCTGACTCCCCTCTCTTCATGGGTCTGACTCTTCCCTCTCCATGGATCTGACCCCAGCCTCCACATGGATCTGACTCCTCTCCCCGGGTCTGACGCCCCTCTGCCCATTGACGCCCCTCTGCCCATGGATCTAACTCCTATCCATGGATCTCACCCCTCTCTCCATGGGCCTGACTTCTCCCCATGGATCTGACCCCCCTGCCTATGGGTCTGACCCCTCTCCACATAGATCAGACTCTTGGAATTCTGTGGAAATCTATGGAATGAGCAGGGATGGAGAGAGAACACTTTGCCAGGGCTTCCTGCAGGGCAGGGGGTGCTCACATCGTGGCATCAACCTCCACCTGGGCACAAGGAGCCGTTCCAGTGACATCCCTCCTCTTCCCAGGCCAGGAATCCAAGCCACATCCCACTGGCACACCCGCTGGGACCATTGCGAGCATCTGCCTGGCTCTGCTGCTCTTCCTCATCCTCTTCCTCATCTGTGGCCCTCCTGCCTACAGGAGGCTGATGAAGAGAAGTAAGTGACAAGCTCTGGATCCTCTTCCTCCTCCTCCTCTTCCTCACCTTCCTCTTCCCGCTCTGCCATGCCTATGTGGTGCCCCAGGGCTGGCAGCTCCATGGATCTATCCCTGCTGCTTCCCTAACTCCTTTGGGAGGGGATTTGGCAGCTCAGCCTGACAGTTCCCTCTATCCCATTGTCCCCAAGCCTATATCCCATTATCCCCAAGCCTGTCTCACATGGAATCGGCACAAAGAAAGGGAATGGAAAGGGGGATTAGACTCCAAGTGGAGACAAAGGAAGAGCCAGAGGAGCTTCAAGAGGGATTACTGGGCAGGGAGGGATTATTTGGGATGACATATGGGGCTGGCAGGGGGGAGACAGCTGGGAAAAAGCTCAGGAAGATTCTTGGAAAGACAAACCCCCCTTCACTGCCCATCTCTGCTTCCAGTCTCCAAGAGAAAGCAGCGCCAATGGATTGGTCCCACAGGACTCAACCAGGCAGGTGAGGAGCAGCTCCTGAGGGTGGATTTCGGCCTTTGGAGATGAATTTGTGTTCCTGGGGGTGGCATTTGGGCCTCTGGAGGTGGATTTGGGGCTCCAGGGGATGGGATTAAGGCACCTAGGAGTGGATTTGGGCTCCTGCAAGTGGATTTGAGGCACCTGAGGGTGGATTTGGAGCTCCTGGGAGTGGGATTGAGGCACCTGGGAGTGGATTTGGAGCTCCTGGGGGTGGATTTGAGCTGCTGGGGGGGGGATTGGGATCCTGAGGTGGATTTGAGGCTCCTGGGGTGAGATTGAGGCACCTGAGGGTGGGATTGCCTCACATTCCCAATCCCAACTGCTCTCCCAGTGTCCTTCCACCGGAGCAGCACTGTGGCCCTGCGGCCACGGGAAGGACCGAGGGGACAAGGAGGTGACAACGACTACGCTCAACCCCCGAAGAGCTCCAACCTCTCTGCATATCCAGGTAAGTGCTAGAAAAGGCTCCTCCCAGCTTCTTTTCCCTGGATGAGCCAAGATGGGCATCCAAGGAAAAACATCATCCCCTCCACAGCTCTGGAAAGAGCATGCAGAGCTTCAAACCCTATGGATAACTCCTCGGACAGCGACTACGACCTGCACTCTGCCCGCAGAGTCTGATCCCTCTGGAGTGTCCTGATTCCCAAAGGAGCTGTTCCCATCTCCTGACTCAGCTCTGGGAGCATCCCAGCATTCCAGAGCACTTCCATGAACATTTCCAAGCCTCTTTGTGGTGGGAAATGAAGCGTTTTGGGCTGGTTTAAGATATTTATATGGATTTTCCCCCTTTGGAAGGGAAGCAGCAGCTCCCAAAATTGGGATAAAGAGTTGGGATTATGGATGGAGGAAAGGGATGTGAGGAGCATGGGGAGGGTGGGAATACTGAGAGCAATTTCAAGATATTTAATGATCAACATTTGGAATAAAATTGGGTTTTGTAGGAGTTGTGTCTTGTTCTCTTCCTCCCCAGATCCCAGTGGCATTCCCTAAAGGATCAACTACCAGGGTCTCCAGAGGGAAAAGCAGGACAGGAAAATGCATTTTCCCCCTCTTCTTTTAAATCCTCAAAATGTGTCCCTTAGGATATATAAACCCCAAAAAGCATGAAAAATGGGTTTGGAGATGATCCTGGGACAGATCAAAAGAATTTATTGCTGAATTCCAAAGGGAGTTGGTGTTGGATACCAGGAAGGGATAAAGAGATCAATCCTTAGCTGGGTGCTCTGTCATTCCAAAAGCAATTCCCATGTGCAGTTAATCCATCCAGTTTTATTACTGTAATTAACTCCAGGGCTGGAATTGCTTCCATGAAATCCCACAAAGCCTTGTCCTAGTCCATTAGTAATCATTCCTTATAAATAACTTAAGGGGATACAGGCAGGATTCCTGGGATAAAGTGCTGAGCAAAGCAAATCCCATTCCCATTCTTTATCATTCCCAATGTTTCCAAGTGTTTCCTGAGAAGGAGAATGTGAAGAGCCCAAAAAACCACACAAGAAGTCGGGAATACTGGAGGCTGAATGGGAATCAACTCCCACTGGCAATCCTGGAATGGCTTGGGTGGGAAGGGAGGCTTAGGGATCATCCACTTCCAACCCCACTGGAAGAGACATCTTCCACTTTCAGGTTGCTCCAAGCCTCATCCAATCTGGCATTGAGCACTCTCAGGGATGAGGCAGCCACAGCTTTCCTGGGAAATTCATTCCAGTGCCTCAGAGGGAGGAATTCCTTCCCAAATTCCAAGCTAAATCCACTCTCTGCCAGCATAAAGCCATTCCCACTTGTCCCATCACTCCATGCCTTGTTCCAGTACTTTTCCAGCTCTCTTGGAGCTCCTTTAGGCACTGGAATGTGCTCCAAGATCTCCCTGGAGTCTTCTCCTCTCTGGATTTCCATGTCCATCCCACCTGAGGGACAAGCTACCTCCTCCCTCCTGTATCCAACCTGGAATTAGTATCCAGGCCAAGGAGGACGCTGAGGGTTGGGAGCAGGAGGGTATCCAAAGGGTGGGGGAGGCACAGGATAGGGAGATGGTGTGTGGATTGGGAAATTTGGGATAGGAGGCTGAGTGGGATAGGGACACTGTGGCCTTCCTGCTCCAGGGGGGATGTAGGGAGCATATCCCGGTCTGGGAGCAGGAGGAGAAGGGCTGGAGACAGGATACGGCGAGGGATGAGGTGGAGCTCGGGATGGAGACCAGGAATAACCTCCTGAGGGAGGTCTGGGATACCCTGGAGTGGAGTCAGCAGCTGGAGCAGGTGGATATCCAGAAGCTGCAGGAGGCTGGTAGGGAACAGCAGGCTGGGAGGAAGGAACGTGTCCCACAGCGACCGGAGATCCCGGGAAAGGAGCGGGAGGCAGCGCTCCATGGGCTGTGGGACCCGCTGGAAGGGCTGGAGATGGGCTGTAGGGAAGAGGGAAGGCTGAAGATCCCGATGGGAAGGGTTTGGGGGCATCCACAGGACCAGGAATGTGAGGAGGAGGAGGAGGCTGAGAGTCCCTGTCAGGCTCCTGAGACACTTCTGACTTCCGCACCAGCTCCTGCAGCTTTTCCACTCGCACTCGGCGCAGGTGGGACAACTTCCTCAGCACAGAGAACTGCTCCAGGAATGTCTCCAGGGGCACCTCTCCCTCCAGGAATTTCTCAGCCATTTTCTGGAATAGAAGAGCCTCAGGTTCATCCCTTTGTTCCAGCCCTGTCTCCTTCTGCTCCAGCCTTTATCCCTCTGTTCCTTTTCCCAATCCAAGGATTTAAGCCTCTCCCAGACATACTGAGGAGCATCAACCACACACAAACAAGGACTCGTCCCATTTTTTTGGAGGAAACCCCCCAAACTCTGGAGATACTCCATGATTTAAGGGATTAGGCTTAGTTTCAAGTCTTTGAGGATTAATCACTGGAATTTCCTATGGATTTAAGCCTTAACTCACCTCGGATTCCTCCTCTACCTTTTGGCTTTCCACCTGGAGAAGATCCAGCAAAGTCTGTGGATGCAGAGATGCTG